CACTCTATGTAGTAAGATAATTTTGTAGTAGAATAATCTCATGTAGTACTAGTGAATACACCTGAATTATTTATGTTCAAATTTGAATAGTCATAAGCAATTTCTAAGTTTAAGTTATCAGCATAGAATAGAATAATAGATTGACTGACTGCATTACACAAGTAATTCAGGAGGTCTTGATAAGTGCAGATTAAGTCATATGACATCTAGCTAAAGTGGAATTGTAGGGGGAATCGAGAAGTATAGATTTGTACTGAAATTTCTGTCTATTCCAGTCAGATTCCTGTCAATTCCGGCCGGAATCCGCGGAATCCGGTAGGAATCAGTGGAGGAATGGAAAGTATTGGGGTCTATGGCAATGGAATGCCTTAGCCTACCTGGGAGCATTCGAAGTCGACCTGAAAACATTTATTTTGCAGGTGCAGTGCCAGGCCCACGGCAGCCAAGTCTCGATGGTCTTAATCCATTCTTAGCGCCCCTTGTTGACGTTCTTGACCGCAGCTACCATCGTGGCACATGGTTCAGCAGGACCCACGAGCATCCAGAAGGTCGACGTTCACGAGAGGCGATCGTACCAACTGTCAATGATCTACCTGGCTCACGAAAGGTCACGGGGAGTGCCGGCCATTCAGCGAACAGATTTTGTTCGTTGTGTCATCTACAAAAGTCAGATATCAATTGTCTTGATCTTGCAAAGTGGGTACCAGTCACTTGCCAGGAGCACCGTCGGTTTGCGAAAGAGTGGCTGGATGCAACCTCTAAATCTCAAAGGAAGGCCCTGTACAAGAAGAATGGTGTGCGTTGGTCAGAGCTTTTGCGGCTCACCTACTGGGATCCTGTGAACTGGGTTGTAGTTGACGGAATGCATAATCTGTTTTTGGGAATCGTCAGACATCATTTCCGAGCGGTCATTGGCACGAAATGGGATGAACAAGACAACGAAGTAGAAATGGCGTTCGATGATCAAATTCCCTGAGAAAAGGACCTGAAGAGAGGGCATCGGTTATTAGCCCAAGGGGCCACTCTGAAACAACTGGAAACCTTACCGATACCAGCTCTACGTGAGCTCTGCACCGTCTATGACGTACAACATGCTGTTCATCAGCAAGGGCACAGGCGCGTCAAAAAGCGACCTTTTGCCGTCGCTTTGTTGGTGAGTCCTGTTCATTGAATGCCTACTTCTCAGCTAATATAAAGATAGTCGGCCTGCAATAGTGCGTCAGACAATCATGGAACTAAAAGACCCTCCAATACCGGTGCTGGGGCTCTTGAAGGAGACCTGGCTGGTATCGAAGTGGACCTTGGACAAGAAGCTTTTAGCTATGATGGGCAACCTATGCTCGGCACAGAGGAATTAAAGAAGATTCAACAAGATATACTCGAAACGATACGACCCACATGGCAAACCAGCCCTCCGAAGAATTTTGGCTCCCCTGCTCACGGAAAACTCAAAGCTGACCAGTGGAGGACATACATCGAATTCAACTTGCCTGTATCGCTGGTGAAGATGTGGGAAGATACAAACCATGGGAATAACTCGGACGCACTTCAAATCCGGCGTCAGAAAATCGTGGAGAGCACTATGCTTTTGTCTGTAGCAATACGCTGGGCTGTTTCACATCGGACGTCAGAATTGCACGCAAATCAGTACCGCCAGCACATGATGGCTTACCTGAAGACATTGAGAGAGCTTTGTCCGACCATGGATCTACACCCAGTGCACCACAATGCATTGCATATCCCCGAGTTCCTCTTGCGTTTTGGACCAATGCACGGCTGGTGGATGTTCCCATTCGAGAGACTTATTGGAATCCTTCAAAAAATAAAGATCAATTTTAAAATTGGTAAGAGTCATACAGTTCGTCGAGACGTACCTAACGATGAGATTAGGCCAATTGGAGAGAACGATGATGAACACATTTTGTGCCGCCAGTGAACTGAGGGTCTTCCTCCAGCGACCGGGATGTCCTGAGGTACTCTGGGAATGTGCGCCCATACTGGCCGAATGCTTCCCAAATACGCAAACGGGAACGCTGAGCCATGACATGGATACTCTGGGAGAAGATAATGAGAGTCAGTCGAGCAAGCCGAAGGAAATCAATCTTGAGGATGACATACATAAGGTATTGGTTACGCTCATGCCAGGCCATTCAAAGACAGTGCGCGAATACACTCGCTTTGAAATCAAGGGTTGAAAGTTTGCCTCATCGAAAGCAACTTATCGCAACAGCATTGTTTACTTCCAGCCACTTAACGACAATGCGTTGGTGCCTGGCGTTATTCGAAAGATATTCGAAGCTGGGAGCAAGCCGTCTATTTTCTTGGCCATCCACAGATATCTCCCAGTGCGTAATGACCCCTTCAACAAGTACCCTGGCTTCAGGGCAACAGTTAGCTGGAAAGCGAGTATTGATCAAGTCGAGATCATACCTGCCACTAATCGGGTATACGCGGCGAATCAGCGTCCTTGGGGAAAAGACTGTGTAGTTTCACGTCCACTCATAGAGGTAAGATGTTGTTTTGAGGCATATTAATGCGGTATCTGATTGAACATACAACAGGATTTCTGACTATGTACGGATCGTGTATAACTTTGCACATAGCGTGTTTAGTAACATATTACATCTACGTTCAACGTAGTGTACTGATTCAGTATCTAACCCAATAACCCGATGGCTGGCGCATCCACTTCCCTGCTAGACACTTTACTTCGGTAAGTTTTGAGAGCGCGGTCCCGCAATGCGCAACGAAATCGTCGATGTGATTAATATCCATATCTTCTTCCGTGGACGAATGGACTATATCGAGCTTGATGATGTCTGGACAGACCTTGGCCCAATTATAGATGTGATCCTGGAAAGTATTCAGATTTTGCGGACGAAAGGGAGGGGGAAGAACTCACAGCAACAACGGTGTTAAACGAGTCTACATCGACCTCCAGTGTCTCCACCCCGAGTAGCAGACGACTCGGGAATGCAATACAGGAGCAAACATCTTTGGAATTAGTGTTTAAAGGTTCAGTTCAGTCCGGTTTTTTGCCCCGAAAACGCGCAACCGTGGACCGCAACCGGTCCAGGACCGACCCAGATATTGAGGGAACCGAACCGAACCACCTAGGACCGGTCTTTTGCGGTCCATGATACCGGTTCAGACCGATCCAGACCGGTTTTTTTGCGTATAATTTATTATACCAATATAAACCATTTTTATCTCAACCATTATTACTCTGAAAAATGAACTGGTTATATAAAATAGTAAGGCATATAAATACCCGTCATTCTGCCAATTTTCAAGAGATTTAATGAAGATTTGACATAGTTATGACTGAAACCGAATTGCATCTCATAGAGACTCGGGTAAAATATGGATTTGGTTATATCTTTCTCAATTCTTAACCGTTTTTGATGAAACAAAAACCCAATAAAAGGCAATAAACGTGGTTACAAGGCTATGTAACGCACGTGACCGTTTAACCGGTTACAACCGATTAAAACCGGTCTTTGAACGGTTTTAAAAGATTTTCGAAATGAGGCAACCGGCAACCAGACCAACCCCAAATTGGGGCAACTGCAACCGAAAAAAAGACCGGTCCATGGTCCGGTTCAGTTCGGTCCACCGGTTTTTTGCGGTCCTATGGACTGAACCTTTAAACACTATTTGGAATGTTGAAAGTGGGCGACATGACACAGAATGGAGTTAGGTAACTGAATAGAAAGCTCCAGCCCTTTGAAGTGATATTGAGTGAGACTTGATGCGAAAGTGCAGAGCGAGTTCAGGTTAGAACAAAACTCGACTGATTGGGGTTGAGCGAAGGAATTGGGAGTCTGGAGATAACAACGGCGCAACCGATCTGGGTCCTCCAGCATCCACAAGTAATGGTTTGTTGTCAGATTCAGGTGGGTGAGGCCTGGCAAAGGCACTCGCGATCTTGGAGCGGCCGGATGAGTCGCAGAGTCGTAGATAGCATAGGCATATAGTGATAACGTGTTGACCATCGCGTGTCTGAGAAAGAAGGCAGGCTCTATGCACAATATGGTATTGTCAACCGTCCTGATAATAATTGATTCCAAAAGAGGGAATGTTGATATGGCGAGGACGCCATTACACTCCTGCTGGGTTTTGCAATCGTCGAGCTGGAAGGTCTGAACTTGAGGACTTTGCAGAAGCCGGTGACAAGTGGTCGCAAGGCTGGGAACTCCGAGAATGACAGCTGAGATGGTGAGCGCGCTTAAGCGTGGCAATGTGATGTGTGCTGGAAGTGGGCAGAGCCGTCGAGTAGGGCGGGCAATCGTTAGTTTTCGATAAGAAGGATCACGAAGTTGCCGTTGAAAAGTGAGGGTGCGACAGCATTCATTCACAATGGTTAAGAATGCCACCAGGGACGATGATGTCCTTCTGTCACCAAGCAAAGACTTTTCCTGGGGATGGAAGTTGATACAGAGTGAGCGAACACTCGTTTTAGTCATGGCAAAGTTGCAGAGTTCCCTTCCATACTGGACGAAGTAGAATAGGTCGCAGACGAGAGAGACTTCTTCGAAGAGTTGAACAGCGGAGAGCAATTGGACGGCGATGGCAGGGACATCCCGAGTGAGGTAGACGACGTTATGATTGTGTAAAATCCTGGTGCGAATGAGATACGCTCGCGTGCTCTCTGCTCTCAGGCGATCATTGAATTGTTGAGCTAAATTTAACAGGTCGGATGTTGGAAGATAGGTCATTATGAGGGCGAAAAGTTCACTCGGGAGGTCGAGGAATGAGATGGTGACAGCGGTGGGTGGGCGTGAGGCTAGAGCGGTCTGGGGCAGCGGTTCGACAATGGGCCCCATTTGGGTGTCGATCCGCAGTGCGGACGCTGCGTCAACAACGACCTGCAAAGTATAAGTAAATACAGCTAGGGCAAACGGTAATGACTGACAAGTTTCGGACGTTTGGCAGCAGGTTGAACGACATGGTCCGCGTGAGCAATTGGGGTCTTGAAAGCAGCGTTAAAAACGCTTTAAACACCAAGCAATGAGCTTACATCTGGGAAAGCTCTCTTACGTTGTCAGATCAACAAAGTTGACAAAAGGTCACTGGGGGCGATTCGAATGGGTAACTAGACGGAATGAGCAAAGAGATCAGTTCTAGGCATATGAGACTCACTTCGTCAGCAAACGCTGCCTGCAGCGTCCATTGGAAGAAGGTGTTGAAGATCATGGCTGTTGGAAGCTGATAAAATTGATATACGTTGAAGAGGACGAGGATCAAGGATTGATTTGGGTTGAAGAAGTTGGATTAAAGACAGTGAAATTCCGATATTTAAGGCGTAATGCGTCACCAAGGCGCAACACAATAAGTTGGCTGCAATGAAGCGAATGAGTAAGTCAAAGACGCTTTGAACAAAAAAGACGTACATACATACAATGTGAAGCGGGGGGGCAAGCACGTATGGGAAAGCAGAGGAGACCCGAGCAAGGCAAACAACACGTTTTGCGAGAATGACAGCCTCAAAGACAATCACTGGATGTACAAAACGCCATGACAACTTCGGCAAAGGGGCGCGCCAGGGACTGTAGGAAGCTCACAATTAGCAACTTGACATTCAATTCAAATTGATTTGGTCATCAGCCCAGGCTGTAGTTTTTGACCATTTGACCCCAGGAAAATCCACACTACTGTTTTCCATATAGCCTGCAACTATCCAAAACTTCAAATGGCATATTCATGTGGATCCTCATTCCTTCTTGTAGTAGGACCGGAAATTGAAAAAAAAAATCCACCTATAATGAAATATACCCGTAGAATAGGTTTTCTGCTCAGAATATGGTTCTACAGCATCTATTTTTAGCCTGACATGTTTCCATTTGTTTCCGGCATCAATTGTCTCTTATTTGGGTTGATTTGGGTGTTCCCTCCCATCAATATCGATGCGCGATATGATTTCCATTGATTCCAAACGTCAGATATGTTTCCGGCAACGTGGATATGTTCCTGGCCTTTCTATTTTTAACCTGTGTGCATGTCTCATCAAAATCGGCTTCTCCGCTCGAAATCTTGCCTTCCCCTGCCTTCCCTTCGGCTCCATCAATACTTATCACTCCGTCCGCAGCTTTCTGGTACTCATTCACCCTGCATATGTTATGTTTTTTGACATTCATATGTTCATATTTTCTTTTCACTTTGTTTTGGTTATCGTGCGTGCATGTCTAGACCTCGTTTGTTTATCATGCGTGCATGTTTTGTTTTTCGTATGTTCGTATTTTATTTCTCTTATACTCGCACAATGTAATCATCAATGTATACGCATACGCAATCCGTTCTTTCTTTGAGAAATGAATACAACCGCTTGTTGAACTCCAAACTGCCAAGTTGAACATTTGTCATGTGACTACATGTTGAACGCGTTGGCGTCGCTATGTTGAACGCGTCGCGTCGTTATGCACAAGATATATCATTTTACTAAGTACGGCTGTACCATACCGTCAATTACAAAATAAGACTGAGCTATCGGCAATAATCTACAAGATAATAAAAGAGGCACTTTGAGCCAACACCGATTTGAGTTGAGCCTTAGCGCTTGTGCTTTTTCGCAGTCATCGTCTGCTTGGTTGACTTGGCAGTTGAGGTGACTTGGGGAGCAAGTGTCGCTCTGCGGTTTAATGAGAACGAAGTTATCCAGGCATAAAAGTCTGGACACTTACTTCCAACCCAGAACCTGGGACAAGACCCACTGCACATCCTCCACAGCAGCTATCCAACCTGGGTCATTGACCCCCTCTTTCCCCTTGTCCAGGAGACCGGAATTCCACCAGACGAGGGTCGCGAGCATGGTCAGAAACACGTTCTGGCCATGTTTGTCCATTACTGACCACCCCTCATCTCCTGTGAGGACAGTACGATGGGAACTACCTAAACGGCCATCTACTCCCGCAGCGTTGTGCCAACTCGGCTGAAGAACCTTCCACCATGTCCACCAGCTCCTTTTGAAAGATGCGACATCCTGGATAAGGGGTGCCTTGCTACGGCCACGGCCGACCCACCAATCCACCTGTGAGGGCCGACTTGTTTTCTTAAATCCCATATGGATGCCTCCGACGTCGAAGTTGCTGCAAGCCTCCAACTCCACATACAGCTTGATGGTTTTTGTGAATGCCAGGCCAAGATCTTGTGCCGATAGAAGCTTGTAGCCTCTCAGAAACCACTCCGGCCACTTTGGATCTGGAAGCGACGGTGTGGGAGTTGAGGTGACGATTGGCTGCAACGCTAAGGCAAGAGATGGTTCGGTAGAAACGGGGGCGGGGGGAACGAGTGGTTGGGCGAGGGAGGGAGATGGCTGACGCAGAACGAGAGGGAGGTCTTTACCCTCCCCCACGTAATCCATATGGACTCCAGTGGACTCCAGTGGACTCCAGTGGATTCCAGTGGATTCCAGTGGCCCTCTTACCAGGCCAGATTGGCTGGCAGAATGCCCAGTCCACTGGAGTCCAGTCCAGTCCAGTCCAGTCCAGTCCACTGGACTCCCACTGGACTGCCAGCCACTTTCCTGAGTCCAGTCCCAGTCCAGTGGACTATGAGTCCAGTCAGAGTCCAGTGGATTCCAGTGGATTCCAGTCATTCCAGTATATTATTATTCTTATATATGAATATACCTAAAAAAGCGAAAATGGACTACACAATAGACAAGCTATACCTACAATTTTATTAATCAATGAATGGAAAGATTATAATTTATGTATAGTGTGGGTCAGTGATAGCTGCAATAAGGATTCATGATTTTGTTCAGTCTGCGGGGTGAGGTCACGTGACTTACTTGAGGGTGTGCCATATCGTCACGTCGCCTGTTTGTGGGATGGTCACACTGCCGTGACCATCCCTTTCCCTTCCACCACCACCACCATTCACATCTCAACGCCGCCGACGACGCCCACGCCCACGCTAACGACGCACACGACGCCCACGCTAACGACAACGACACCCCCAGCGCGGAACGATGGACCAAGGACGAGGGACAACGCCCATGACGTGGCAACGTCATGGGCAAGGGGTACGTATGCCCCACCACCCCGTTCCTCCGTTCTCACCACGACAGGCACGACGCCAGCAACCACCCATGCACGGCACATGAGGACGGCGACGACGAGGACACGTGAGCACGACGACGACACGCGAGCACGACGAAACGCGAGCATGACGAAACGCGAGCACGACGACACGCAAGCACGATGACGACAATACGCGAAGCCGACCACACGAACGAGCGCCCACGGAAAACGGCCACCGCCCATGAAAAACGACCCCCGCCCACAAAAACGACGACGACACGCGAGGACGACGACACACGACGACGACGACGACGACTACACGCCGTGACGACGACACACGACAACGACACGCGACGACAACGACAACGACACGCCGGGACGACGACACACGACGACGACGACGAACGAGCGCCGACAAAAACGCCGCCCCCACCACACCCGAAAAACGATACGCCCACAAAAAACGACGAGCGTCCGCCAGCGCTGAACGGCGACGAGGGCCCAGCAACATCACCCTTCCCCTCCACTCTCTCCCCCCATCACTACCTCCTCTCTTCACCACTCCCACTCCCCTCCACTCCCTCCCCCCTTCACACTCTCCCCCCTTCAGTCTCTCCCCCTTTCCCCCCTCCCCCTTTCCCCCTTTCCCCCTCCCCCTTTCCTTGCTCCTCTCTCCCCCCCCTCCCTTTCCTTCCCCCTTCCTTGCTCCCTCCCCCCTCTATTCATTCCT